ACTCTCCGCCCCCCCCCCCCCCCCCCCCCCCCGGGGGGAATTTAGACACGCCGTATAAACATTAGCTTTATCCCGTCTTCTGGAAGATGTGTTCTGTTTTTTTGAGATAAAACCGCATGTCCCACGAACTTTTATGCCTCAGCGCTGAGTTTGCATGAACCGAGTTTGCGGACTTGTGATATTGTATGTAAGCTTCCCAGCTCCGGCGGGATGGGGCTTGCAGCCAATGAGAAAGAACGGAATCAGCTGGGGTTAAATATTCTCCCTCCTTTCGTAGGGCATCGGTGCGTAGGTGGTATGGTGCTACTACCAGGCCCTGGAAATCAACGATTATGGGTGGTCGACCTCACCCCTTACCTGTATGCTGATCGTAGCTCAGAAAAAGCTCCTCGACGTGTGTTAGGGGTCCCAGCTCCTTAGGTGTGGCCCCCTGCACGAAGCAGTGTAACAGCAAAACGAAAAATGGAAAGTCGTGTGACGAAGCCTATTGAAGCCAACAATAATGATGCTAAGAAGTCCCCCAATACAACGTCACCTACAAAACGGTTGCTCAGCTCAAAGCCTTCGGCTTGCTGAGAGCTACCACTTGCAGGGATGGCTCCTTCCAATAAGAGTATTCGACAGACATTCGCACCGCTGAGCTTGTTGCTACACACGAAGAGCTGTCGCAGGTAGCCGAGCTATCCTATTGCGACGTTCGAATGTCGCCTGCATGATGTCCCAGGGATCGGTATCGGCTTCGAGAAATCTGTCCCGCCCACAACCCCGTCCTGTCCCACACAACCCAACCCCGTCCTGTGTGACCCTGGATGGTTGTAGTTGTACGAAAACATACACTGAAAAGTGTAGTAGTCTACATACACTGAAACGTGTAGTTTCGTCTCACCACGAAGAATGGGGGGACCGTCGCCATAATATATCGGACGAAGACGCACACAACAACACACACTCCAAGGAGTTGCAAGCCATAACGGTATGGTCGTCTGTTTAAGTACGTCTTTCCGCCTCCATTTCCGGCTTCAGCAATAAGAGAAATATCGAGTGATCGATACGTGGTTGCCGATAGACATATTACGTTTGTAGGTGTTTGTTTGGAAGGGTGGACGTGAACATCCTCTTCGAGTATTTGGCGCAATGGGATGAAGAGTCGCCGCCCTCAAGCAGGTAGTTTCACGGAAAACCCTCCCAATAATGTTTCCGTGCCACCTAATGGCCGTGCGTGCATACCTCATACATCAAACACGACCGACATATAGAACGCGAAAAGAATGAAGCGGAAAAAATCGCTAGGGGCGCCAGGGTGTGTTTTCCGGATTGTCTCCATGCCCCCTTTGAATTCAATATTCGACCTCCTTGGTGCTTCTGGGTTTTCATATGCCACGAACACGTCAAAGAGTTGGCGCTTCTGACAAAACTCATGTTTTCCGAACCTTCGTGGTATAGCTTTTATCCTGCGACCGTGGATTGGCCGTCTATGTTTTTTCCTGGTCGTCTCCGCGTACTCAATACAATTTAGCTCTCTGGGACCACACCCAAGCCGTTCATGGTGCCGAAGATGAAGAGGGAACTCAAATCGAATCAGGTATCCCCGTCTTGTGCGTGCAGATGTAGCATGCTTGGTCTGCCTTCGACGTGGGTTGTCGCTTGCAATGCCAATTTGTGGGGCCCAGCATACCAGAAGTCATGCCGGCTCGATCGCATTGTGCGTACAGAGAGGCTGGTGGCCAGGAGGTAAACACCGCAGCTGCAACAATTGCTGCCATCAGATGACACGCGCCCTTTCCTTCAGCATTCCTGGCGCAGTACAGTAGGTTTGGACTTGGAAGTTCTGCTAGGTGGACACACCTACTGAGGGGCGGCCATCCGTTGTGCCGCACACTTCTTGTGTTGCGCTTCATCTATCTCGGCAATTGTCGCCGAGCGTTGTACAGTCACCAGGCTAGAAACCCGAACACGCTGGGTGCGGGAGCTGTTATAGTCGCCAGGGTAAACGGGGTTGGGGCATTCGACCTCGTGAGCACCGATGCTTAAGCAGTGTTTGTCATAAATTCTCAAATCGGCGCACTCCACTTTACTGGTTAGGAGGGCGAATCCCTAGCCCGCTGTGCCGGTTGCTGGACGTCTTCGATGGCACGGCTATTCTCTTCTGGAGAACAACCCATGGGCTCAACCGCCAGAGTCTATTGTGGACGAAGGCGCCGAAGGCATCAGACGATATTTCGAGGACCTATATGGTGACCCCGGCAGGGTCCAGCGCGACAGCATCAAGATCATTCAAGTCGGGCAGGGAGGCGCGGGGAAAACGAGGTGCGGGCAATGCCTGTGACTTTTCTGCACAGTAGCTGGTGGTACGTCGAACAGCCCCATTCAGCGAAAATAGAACATGAGTATTGCACATGAAGATAGCGCAGATACTTTTGCCCAAAGCGTACGACTTGCTGAAGCTCGAGGGTGGGCAAAAATCAAGCGTCATTCCATGGTTCGGTTATCCATGCAAAGCGTTCAATCATTAGCTAGCTCGGTTGGTCTTGTATATCGTACGACTCGAAGTACGGCATTGAAGACGTCGGAAAGGCATTGGTGCCGGAGTCAAGACCGAAGTGATCGGCCGAATATGGTTACACTTTTTGATACCCCTCGACACTTGAAGATAGCGGGTTCAACGCGCCCGTACGCCCAACGACCGTGCTCAATGTTCCCTATGTACGTCGGCTGCGAATCCATGAACGCTCCTGCAGCTTGCGCCAGAGCATGAAAGCTAACCAAGCAGCTCCTACGCCGGAGTGGAAGGAAGAGAGCACGGTTTTTGCCGATGTTGAGTCCATGGTCCTCAAGGGTACATCTATTCGGGTACACGACTGCGCCGGACAGGTGACAGGTGATGTTTTGGCATTTATGTGACGATCTGGAGACGAGGTTGGTTTTCGAGCACATGGAAACGACTATCGGAGTCTTTACGAAGATGGGGGTTGCCCAACATTCCGCCAGGTTGCCTACACGGGGCTGCTGCAGATGTTCCTGACGCCACTTGCTGTTTGCGTGCTAGTGTGCAACGCCAAGGCGTTCGAAAACCCGGGCGACGGGATCGGTAGCCAGGTAGAGAAAGACTGCCGTATGCTGGAAGAGTTGTGCGTGTGCGACTGACTGCGATGTATCGCTCGAAGGGTTCCCGACAATGAGGTCATCCTCGTCGCCACCAATTGTGATCTCGTGGGTGGGAGGGCTAGGGAATTGGGTCGGAGGATGGAAGAGGCCTGCCGAACGTGGTTGGCAAGTTGAGTTCGCAGCGGTATGCAGCCCGTTGAGGTTGAGGATGGCGTTTGTCTAACGAGCTGCTCCTCCATGACAATGTATGACGGGGGTTGTCTACCAAGCTGCTGTTCGACCTCAAGCAATGGACAAGGAGAGGGTGACAGTGGACCTGAGGCTTCGGGGAGGCGTTGGGCGTGTGATTGGCTGGACAAGAAGGACGAGAACCCTTCACCTGGTCCGCTAGACCGCCTTGTGAACAAGCGCGACGGTGGTCTTCGAGGCGCTCGGATAATGCTTCCTCGCAGCTGGGACATCGCGCTTACTTTTCTTGAAGCTCTCGAGCGGGGACGGTGAGTCAGATTCCGGTGTGATGCCTGAGCTTTTCATAATCTCCGTAGATTTGGTGTGTAACGCATACTGATTTCGTCGGTGTCTGCTTCGATCCTGCTGTGGCATTTTATGGTGTGAACAAAGTTTAAACGACGCTTGTTCCGTGTTCTGCTTGAAATAACGGGCAAAGGGACCCCGTGAAGATGGAAGTGCCGAAGTTGGTCGACTCTGGCGAAGAAGGCGCGAAAACGGCAGAGCCCAAGCTAGACGTGTATCAGGGAATCACGGTGGAGGAGCTCAGGGGCAAATGGCAGGAGACGGTCCTTGAGCTTGAAAAAATAGACGAAGCAGTGAATAATACCGAGAACGCGTTGGAAGGAGCGCGGTCGATCAGGTAACCGAACAAGCTCTGCAGCAATGGGTAAACCTTGCTTTGCGAATCACGCAAATATAGGTAAGATACCGTTGGCTGATGTGCTGGCACGCACAGCATTTTCTCTACGGTGATTTTCTTTATCGCCAATCTCGCGAAAGTTCAGCAGCCCGCTTCATCCAGCAGCCCGCTTCATTATCAGCAGCTAATCGATTCGTTTTACTCGCACCGGCGCTTGCTACTATTGCCCCCGCAACACACTGCTTTGCAGGGAGTTCGATGGATCCCTCGTTCGCCACAATACGTTCGTCTTTCTAGACGTGGTTTGGCTAGCCAAAATCCTCAAGCCCTTGCTAAATCACAAGGAAGAAGAGACCTTCGACGGGTCTGTGAAAGCTTGGGGACGCCGGCGACACGCGAATCACCCTAGACGCCCCCTCGGACATCGTTTCGAGGCACAGGCTCAAGAGAGAGGGAATTCTGGAGCCCAGGTTGGCGCAAGTCGTGTGGCCTGCTGGCCTGTGCGAGTTCGTTCTGCCAACTCTTGCATCCCTGGGTCTTACGTTTCCGCTCGAAAACGATCCCGCCGAAGGTCTGGTAGTTCTTCTTAGGCTAGACCCAGACCGTCCCGAGCATGTCCGCGAAGTGGTCGACACGTTTCGGTCGGGCCTCACCCCTGTACTCACCGCCGGTTGGAAGATTTTCCTCGGTGTACAGCCCGGTGCGATCGAAAAGGTTTTGACGCGATGCTGCGACCTTGGTGGTGTGCGGACGTGTTGGCGGTCCGGGGTGCTCGTGCATGGTCGCCTCGGCGTCCAAGACGAGAGAGGAACATTTGCAGTGGTGGTACAGTATTCGTCAGACGGCAACGAACTGACCGCTCCGGTGTACGGCGATAGAAGCAGTCCTGCTCTGTGGACGGCGGTTTCATTCGTCAGCTCCGTGGTGAGGTCGATGCTCCTGGAGTTTCCAGGGCTGCGCTCGAGAGGTTTTTTGGAGTGCCCTCAGCATGGCGACGCGATGGCTTTGACTGGCAAGGTAGGTTCTCCGGCAGACCTTTGTCGTCGAATGTGCAGCATTGTACACCTTCGTTTCCTGAATGTAGTACATGTTCCCGAGCGCGTTCAGCTTTGCGCAGCCGTTTGCCTGCCGCGCACCGCCTACTTGACAACATGTCAAATTGTTTTTTGGCCCTGTGACACGTAGTGGAGTATGCTTTGATGAAATCTTGGTGCGATACGTGCGTGTGTTCACCACGCTGGTGTGGCTGTCCCTTGGTCGTGGTGTAGGGCGATGCCAGTGAGGTAGCCGACCAACCTTGTTCTTGAACAAGGGTCTCATTGCAAGCCCTTCAGTTCTAGAGCTGCAAGTAGGCCACAACGACTACCAAGGTAGGTGCCTCCTTAGGGTGGTCTTGGATGGTGCGTGTATGACTTGTGCGTTTGGATACAGGATGTCCAACAAGGGACGAAATCGTGTACCTTCGCACGCACCAGGAAACTCGCGCAGGAGACAACCTTCTGGACACTGCTGGATGCCCGCAACGTAGTCCCGAGATTGGGGGGCAAGGGGCGGCGATCGTTGAACTTGTGAGCATTGTCGATGTCCGACTTGACCGAGGTATAGTGCTGGGGTGCTGTCTACGTCTGTTTTCATCTCGGTCCCGAGGAACCCAAGTGGTTCTCGTACTGTTGTTTACCCGCATATCCTGCACACCGCATGGTTTTGGTAGCATGCCGGTTTGACAGCCTTTTTCGTGCATGTCGGCACAAGCTATGCTGTTGCTGGTCGTCTTGCCGTCGCCAAATGACGTCGTCATCGCGTTTGACGAATGTAAGGTGCATCCAATCGGTGCGCTTGTCACGCAGAACCAACACAGAGAGAAGAGCATTAGGCAACTTCGTATACTCGTTTTCACCAATCAAACGTGGCTTCAATGGATTGCACCGCATGTCACTGGGCGCTGATTGGAGTACCCTATGGATTCCTTATTCGTACTGCAAGCGGACAGATGTGGAATGACCCCCCCCATTGACGTTCGTCGCGATCACTCCCACAGGCGTGATTTTCCAAGATGTCGAGACAAGGTTTGCCAACATGCAGAGCCGATACACATTCTCTCGTTCGTCGGTGAGCGTGGGGTCCATGGCCGCGTTTGGATACGGTTTTTGGCAAAACATTTGATGTAGTCTATTGTGGTTCCGAAGATGTATTGCTGCGATGGGTTTGCGGGATACGGAACAGCGCCTCCCATCAAATGTTGTTCTTCTATTCTACAAGCCCCTTTTGTTCACCTATAATAGCCTTTATGTGCTGATGGCAGAAATGCATCATCTTTGCGGCCGCCATGCTCACCGAAGTCAGAACAGGCCATATCAAGCCACCATCCTCATCGCAAGTTCTTCGACTGCCACGTAGTACGGTCAGGAATTGCTTTTGTGCCGATATCATAACCCACCACCGATACTCGCGCCCTTTCGCAAGTTTCTTTTTCTTTAACGATTTGCTGCTGCCCACGGCACGTTCCTACTGATGTGTCTTTTGCGGAGACCCAATAACTACTGCGGCACTGGCCAAGCCATAGATGGCGAGCCCAGCACTCACTCTACCACTTTATCACCATTTGCTTTGAAGCTTTGTCGTGTTAGAATCGACAACACACGTGCACAAGGAGCACAGATACCATGCCGTTCCTCATAGAGGACCAACTCTTCGGCGTGCGTGTACCTGGGCGGTTTGGAAACACCGCGCAATGGAAACTCTAGGAAGAATACCCAGCGTCGAGAACAGTTTCCGTGCCTTCCCCCACCTTCGATTCTTGCTTGCTATTTTTTAACCGAACGTAGAGCATAGAATGGATGCACGAACTGTGTAATCCAATCGCAACCATGATGTTCGCGGGGATGGAAGTTCGTACACCACCCTGATTTGCCCCTTCTGCAATTTTCGTGCTGTCGCAGCCGAACTACCAGGGCGAGGAGGCGTTGCTTGAAAGGATTGCGGCCACTGTGGATCGGGTTGAGGGAGGCATCCAGGAAAGCCTCATGTACCTCAAGAGGTTACAGGCCCCCAACTGCCCTTGTCCCCACCTGGTGGAGGTGAAGGAAAGCGAGGCAGACTTAGGGGAAGAGGATCCCCCTGAGCAAGCTTCGCGGCCTCGCGATGAAGGACATGACGCTGCGCTTCTTGTGCCCGGTCGACATGGAAAAGGTACCATGCGGAATGAACGGGGAAGGCTACCGTTTTCGCGAGAGGCGCAGCGGGGTCAAGAAGCTTGCGCCGGTTCTGCAGGTACGTAAGACCATGTTGTTGTGTCACCTCGCCGATCGCAGGCTACACCCTGGTTGGTGCAGATGCTGCTCAAATATTGAGTCGGGGTGTTGGTTGGAGGCACACCCGCAGATCTTCCCCATTGGGGCTTTGATGTCGGAGTTGGTAGATTTGGCGAATAGGCCCTGAGAAGTGAGCAACGACGAATTGCATCCAACCGGTATGCTTCGTTGTTTTTTTGCGCGCGCTACGCCGTCCCAGGTGGAAGTGGTGACCGTGCAGTTCGCGCTGAAAGCAGCGGGGGGAGTCGGACGTGGATTTGTCGTACTTCCTGCAGGCCGTCAAGGATGGGCTGGTCGAGGAGATAGTGGATGGTGCTCTCGACGAGGGAATCCTCTTTCGTGTTGCAAACGGGGACGAGAACGCCGGGGCTGACATGCAAAGGGACGCAAGGGCGTCGTACGAAGTCTTGAAAGAGTTTATGGAGAAACTCGACAGAGGGAACAACACCGAGGGCCTCGACGGTTACACAGACTTTCGGGAGAAGATGCAGCGCGTCAGTGACGGACGGGGAGTAATGGTATGGTTGCGTACAGAAAACGTTCGAGAGTGGCGAGACTCACTCTCTTCTGCTGCGCCATCGAGGTAGATGTCTAGTTTTGCTTGTGCCGATTGTAGAATGTTATTGTGGCCGCTACCGTCAGGACCCTCACTGGAGGAGGCCAACAACAAAGACCTGGCGGCGATTGCTGAGTGTGGTTTGGGGGCTCGTGGCAGAATCGTCGTACTACAGAAGTGCATTGAAAGATTAAAGAGCACTGTGGAGGAAACCCAAAGGCAAAAGTTGTGCGCTCTCCGCTTGTGGGCTTGTGGCGAGGTGTCATTGATGTTTGTAGTGGGTCCCTGTTTCTGTTGGATTGGCGTCAGCGTTGCTTCAGCCGGTTCAATATCATTGCCGCATCGCCATCACTCCGCGCCTTGGGTTGTAAATAGTTTAATCTGTGTTGAGGTTTTCAACATCATTCCTCGGCAAATCTGTCTGTGGGTGTGATTGGCCTGAGGTAGTGGCTGAAACTTCGTCAAATGGTATCTTGCCGTGTCCAATTAGTTGTAAATATCGGTCGTCTCTTTGATGCGTCCAAGGTTTGGCGTTTTCTTGTCGATTTCTTCAGGGGGGCCTGCGTTTTGTTTGATTTTCCGCCTGCATCTTTTGCAAGTGTTGCGGACAGTAGGGTGTGAGTTACTTCTGTCACACCTTGTAGCCACACCGTCGCCCTCGCGGCTTCCGTGGCTCGCTACGTATTTTCCATAAAGTGTGTCACCCAGGGCTAGCTGGGCTCCGCCCTCAGCAAGACACGCGTAGTCATACTTCATTGTTTGAATTCGATGTTCTTTTACTTGGATCTCGGAGACAGGAGGGAAGGGATTATGCCAAGCTAATGTCCCAGCAGAAGCTAAGGATATGGTCGCTCGGGAAAGGAAGCATTGTTTAGCACATGAGGCTGGTGGGGAGGGGGGAAGCGGAGGAAAGGTTTACAGTAGTAACAAGTCTGCAGTTCGATCTTTGTATGGGAAACCTGGCAGTACTTTCAAGCGCGAGGCGTGTCTGCGAGCGGAGTCTTCTGAACAAAGGCCGACAGCCACGTGATTGGTTAAGTGGACGCGCTGCTCCGTTCACTCAAGAGTCGTTGTAATCGATAAAACGTTTAACAAGGGGAAACAGTGTATTACCTTTAGTGGATGTTGAGCACCGATTTTACCACTGTAGCAGCACTGAAGCGACGCGCTGCAAATGCTTCTGCGGTAGTGATAGAGGTGTGAAGTTTACTGCAAGGGCATCACATTATTCACTTCAGAATCTACTTTCGCAACCCCCCCCCAGAGCATCAAGGATGTTAGCTAAACGTCATCACCAGCGTCGTGTACGTATTCGCCATGCTCAGAGAATCTTCCTTGGGATGACTTCCTCGAATGCGGAAACGTTCTTGTTCGGTTCTGCATGTTGCTCCGTTGAGTAGGGTTGAGGCACCAAGACATGGAGCAGAGCACAGAGAATTATGATTTCCCCTTTCCGTTGCTGTTCAGTTCGTAAAGGTTTTCTTACTTAATGATGCAACGTCGCCATTCGCGATCTCCTTGTACCCACTCTGTTGTTTGTCGCCAGCCACCTCCGTCATGTTACACACGTGTACCAATGTCTGTATCGCCGACATCGAGCATCTGCCAATTTGTTTTCTAGAATGGACAGTCACACACACAATCCTCGGTAATAATCACGCCGGCTTTCGCCACTCTTGGCAAGTGCCTCCGTGTGGCTCAAAAATCGCTATCAAGCATGCTAGTATACACACGAACATCAATATTCTATCAATCCACATCGTGCCCACTCCAATTAACAACGTACACATTCAGCCTGGCATCACCTATTCGCATGATACCCGCCAGAATGGTTGCTGTGGTCAATCTTCAAGCGACTTCACTGTTCAAAGATTCGCTTCACCACCCAGATACTCACTTCTTCTCTACCCAATCAACTTCGCTCGCCTGGCAAAACACTTATCATTAATTCACTGGATATCGTCCAGAGAGGGCGGGCTAACCACCCCGATTACAGACACTACAGATAATCTCTACGTGTTTACTGGGACGATCAGCACCAAACGAAAGCGACACGACGTTACCCTTGTTGAGGCTCCTCTGTCCAAGATCAGAGAAAGGACAGTAGCGTCGATCGACGAACAGGTTTACATCTAAAGGCCTCCATTCCGTCTCAACTCTTCTGTCACGGACGCTGCACCCCACCCCCGGCACCATCATCTTCCTTTCCATAGTTGGAAACGGTGAACGATGGAACCGGTAAACGCCCGTGTCAGTCGACCAAGCGGGTGCTCTGGTAAAACGTTGGCGCCATGTCGTCTGATGCACATCGTGTATATTTACACAGCCCGGGCGTGCCAACCTTCGATTCTGGGGATTCTTGCGTCGCCATCCCGCCCCTCTCTCCGCCGATCACGTAATCACGAGCTTTCGCGTCTCCCAGTCAGGCCGGTGCTTGTAGTACAGCTCCTCTACCCGCCTCAGCAGCTCGGCATGAAGAGCGTCGACATACTCATCCGAAGGGTTATTCGACTGAACCACGGCAATTGGCCTGTGTTCAACGCACATCAACGCGCGAATCAAACAATCGAAAATCGGGAAACGGGGAGGCAGGGAATCTTTGCTGAGCAAGACATAGACATAACCGGGCTTAGGCGCAGAAGCTTGCACCAGGCAGATGGTGACATACATGTACTTCGATGGTTCCCCGGGCAGGCTTTACCACGACGCTGGATAGGGGGCATGCTTTTCGAGCCTACACTGTACATGGAGGAGAGCGCACACGCGATACCCTGCGTTTTTTCAGATGCTGACTGACGCATGCTAGACATGAATTTCGGGCAGTGCTCAGGTTCCAAACTGCTTTGAACGGGTGGTGAGCGCACCAGGATCATCAGGTCTGACTTCCGCATTCTCCGCAGAGCACATGGGAACAATGCACCATCAACGTGGCGCACCAGGCCTACACCGACGCTCACTATCGTGCGTGCAAAGCAAACACAGAAAACATTCTCCAGGCGAGTCGCGAAATAAGACGACCCACCTTTCTTTGCGTATAAGGTCGTGCTTTAGCCTGGATCAATACCAAGACACCAAACCGACAGTCAAGGTGCAAGAACGGACAGGAATCAAGCAAGACAAGCACATGCGCATACCACGTTTCGTGAAGAGCCCGTTGTAACGCACACTACGTGATGGAAACAGCGCAGCATTACAGCCATCCGAGTGGCGTGGGTTTCTTTCGTCAGCTCTTTATGATGCATTGGTCGTCAGACAGTCCCACCCCAGTTGTCACGGCGTGGACGACTGAGCATTCGTTGTGGCAAGGGGGGCACTGGCCTACGACAATCACTTTCCTGGGAAAACATGGTGCAGCTCGACAACGGCGGGCCTCAAAGGTGTGCTATCGTCTATTGATTTTCACCTCCCTGCCACCATCTTGAGCTCCTTCCTCCGCGGCACGGGCGTACCGAAACGACCGTAGAAGAGGACTAACGCTGTCTTGAACTTGTTTCGCGCGCGTTATTCGTCAATAGACAACGAGTAGAGGCGGACAGCACAGTCAAAAGCAAGGTGCACAAGGGTGGCGAAGTCGATGGCAGTTGAGAGTTGGACGAGAGTGACAAAATCGAGTGAGGGGAGAAGGCGAGTTTGTGCGAACAAGGCACAGCTAACGAACCATGTTTTCTGCGGGACAGTTCATTCTACAAGCGGATCTCGAACAAATCGACACGCTATTGCTGGGGAGAAAAAAGCGATAAACCCAAGCTTTTGCCTATAGTTGGGTTGCATTTCGACACGCGGCAAGACGCGGAAACAATGAAAACCTTGTGCCGGAGTGAAGCCGCTCTAAGTCCCAAGGGCATTGTCACATAGATTTTCACCATTTGACCAGTCAGCGCTGACTGAGTAGTCTAATGAGTAAGTCGTTCTCACAAAAGATATTCTCTCGGCTCGTAACCACCCGGCTGGTCACTGGGATCGATATCCGCACGAGTTCGAATACCGGCTGGATCACTTTTCTTTCACCTAGAACCATCAGAAGACTGGCGAGGGGTCCGTCCCCGGAGATCCCTACTCATTATCCCAGAGAATAAAGCCGCAACCCCAGTGATCCAGCCGGGTGCTAGCGAGCTCAGAGCATATCATTTATTCGATTAAAATTGACTGGTCTTAAGGTGTAACTTTATCGAATAGGCATTATTTGTGAGTGCTTCTTCCATCAACGTCAATCTTCGAAGTCTTGAAAATGTTGAAGATCAAGAGCAACGCAGCGGAGGTCTATCCATACGCAGATGCTCACAAAGTTAAACACATTGGCGGAACATCCTTTCTTCAGCAGGAAACCGCAGAACTGCAATCTCAAAAACTCAATGACATCAGCCCAGATGGAAGAGATCCAAGTGTGTATCGTGCTGGCAGGTCGGTCAGAATGTCTGATAGATGCTGGTACTCCTGAAGATTTGGTGTATTACAACCTTTCGTCGGGTTGGATACAGATTTCCCCCCTCTGCTGCGCCGCCTACATACCTTCCGAGACAGCCTGCAAAGCCAGTTGTCCGCGCCCTCCCCACCAACAAGGCCATGCAAGAGAGAGTTGCCGAAGAAGTACACGGGGACGATGTCTGCCCCGGCCTGCTCGGAACAACACGTGATGATAATGCGACACCAACCTCGCAGATTTAGTCAGCAGGCCATTAATCGATAGTAGATGGTCTTAATCAGCTCCCAAATAATGATAGTTCATCACCTGAATCACAACAATTGCGGCCCTGACCGCAATCCCAAACACACGCAGGGTCAACAGCCTGGCTTTTCAAGTTTGCAAAGATGCAGATTTGTGCTAACGGTACCTCGATGGAGATCTTTGTGAAGTTCTTGCGCTTCTTCAGGTACAGCTTTTCTGTGTGGTTGGAGACCATGAACATCTCTGCGATTCCTCCGACGACCACCGCGACCTGTCGCACAGTTCGTCGGCGCGTAGATTGGTCATTTGGACCAGAAAAGCGGCAACAGGAAGTAAACGGGGGGAAAAGGCCGGCGGGGGGGGGGGGGGGGGGGGGG